GGATGAGCGGCCAGGGCACGTGGTGGATGGAGGGCGAGGGTGGAACAGCGGGACCGGGATGGGAGCCGGACAGAGGGAGGATCGGGTTAGACCGGGCCGGGCCAGGGGCTTCTGCTCCCTCCTCCTGAGTGCTCCACCCGCAGCTTCACGGACCCGAGCGTGTCCATGGACCTGCTGCGCGCTGTGCTGCAGCCCAGCATCAACGAGGAGATCCGGGGCATCTTCAACAAGTACATGAAGGTGAGCGCTGGGGACAGGTGGGCAGCGGCAGGGGCATGGGGACAGCTCGGCTGCCACCGAGACCATCGTGCCTGTGTGTGGGAGCTGAGCCAACACGCGCAGGCTGTCACCCTCTCCTGCCTTTTCCCCTCCAGTTTTTCCAGACAGCAGCAATCAACGTGCGTGATAACGTTGGGGAGGAGGTGGACCCAGAGCAGCTCATCCAGGAGACGTGTAGGAGCTGCCTGGAGCAGGTGGGTGCTGGTGAGGTGTTTCTTGGGTGTCCAGCCAAGCAAAGCTGCCTGGCTAGAATGTGTCCCTCTTAAAACCTGTGCTGTCACCATGAGGGGACATAGGCAGCCCTTGTGTGACTGCTGTGTTGGGATTCATTCTGACCGGGAAGAACAGAGCAGTCAGGGTTGGACAGCTTATGCTGCTTTACCTCACTGCTGCTGTAGGAACATGGCACACTGCTGAAGTCACACAGAAACTTCCCCCAGCACCCGTCAGAGGGTCCTGGCAGGGGACGCCAGTTTGTCAGAATTTATCATGCTCAGATTGTGCTTTTGCATCTGGCTGTCTGTGGAAGCATGGCCTAGTAGCACTCCAAAAGCAAAGCTGTTGCAGGGCTTTTAGGTAGATATGTTGATTTGTGGGGGTTGCTTATGGGGCCTTCTCTGAGCCCAGAATCTATGGAACCTTCTTTGTCTTCCTGCAGGCGAAACTGTTGTTCTCTGATGGCAAAAAGGTGGTTCCCAGGTTGCCCCATGAACAGGCAGTGCCAAAGGTAATTGTACACAGAGGTTTGAATGACTTGTGAGAGCTGGGAGAAGAAGAGTTGGGATCACTTCGTTGTCTGGTTCTTCTTGGCTGCCAGTGCAGTAGTGCAGAGGCAGAGTGGGGGATGTTTGGCTTGAAGGGAATACAGGGCAGGGAGAATCCCAGGTGTGGGTGCTGCTCACAGAGGTGGGCTGGGGTCAGTGTTCACCTGGCCAGGTAGGGAGAAGAGCCTTGCTCATCATACTGCCCTTCCCCTTCCAGCGTGCCCGACAGATGGATGAGGAGCTGAGCCGTCGAGGGAGCCCCATTCCAAAAAAGGTAGGGTGGTTTTCCCCACAAGAGATTTTATGTTTTGAGAAACCTGGCCATTCCCACAGTGTGAGTGCATGGAGGTGCACAGGCAGGTTTTTGAGGCATTGGAGGTGCTCACTCTGGTGCCAGGCAGTGGTTTTGCTTGTGACTAAAGCAGCTTCCCTGTGAGAGGGAGAGTTGCTGAGAGGGTTCCCTCAGCCAGCACAGCTGAGTCACAGAAGGGTTTCTTCCATGCAGAGGAAGGGGCGGCCTCCAGGACAGAGCCTGTCAAATGACCGTGGAGTCTCAGGCATGGCAGCGTGAGTACAAATGCTGAGCTAGAGCTCCTGTTTTGGGAGGGCAGGGGGAATGAGACTGCCTGTGGGGAGCACAGAAACCTCACAGACTCTTCTCCTACAGAGGGGTGATGGGAGTTCTGGGTCTGGACAGAAGCAGGGTTAGGTTGAGGTGTTCCCCTCAGGAGGCAAAGACATTCAAATAAGTGGTTTTAAACAGGCCCAAAGGTGTGAAAAGGTCCAGATGGACTATCCAGAGTGAGTGATGTGACATGGGGGGTGGTGGGATCTGGGCAGCCAGGAGAGGAGAATGGGCAGCAAAGCTGAGGGTCCAAAGCTGGGTACTATGGGAGAGTGGAGGGTGTGAAAAAGGGTGGATCTGGAAGGGCTTGGGCTCAGTCCCTGCTGCTGACGGTGACTGAGCTGATCCCACTGGGACGCATTCTTACTGTGTTTTCTTTCCCCTCAGGTGGAAGCTCAAAGTCTCTGAGCCTGTGAAAAGGGATGGACCAAAGGTATTAGCTGTCCGACACTGCTGGGCTCCCTCTCTCCTCCCCTTTGCTCCCCCTAGCAGAGCCCTGCAGCTGCAGGAGCAGAGGTTGTGCTCTGGCCTGATGGGGCCCTGGGCAGGGGTGGAGCAAGAAGAGGAAGCGAAGTGCCCGGAGGCCTTTGCTGGTCTCCCCAGGCACCATAGCCTGTAGCCCTGCGGTGTGGTGCCGCTGAAGGAGACCTGAGGGGACCAGGAGTAGCCTGGAGAATCCCACAAGTGTTTCCCATGAGGGAAACTGCTTAGATCAGCCCAGACAGAATGTAACGTCCCTCCCCTGCGGAAGGCTGGAGGTCTGTGGCCAGCTCCCTTCCTCCCAGTCTGGAGGCAGCTCCAAGGTTCCAAGGTTGTCAGAGAACCAAGGCTTGTGGAGCATGGCCAGCAGCAACTTTATTTCTAATGTTGCCCCTTTTCCAATTGCTCTGTAGTGGGATCCATCCCGACTGACTGAAACCACAACCTTTGTGCTGGGATCTCGAGCAAACAAGTAAGGAACGGCCCTGTCGATGGAGGGTGGTGTCCCCAGGCAGGAGTCCGTGACACTCCTCCCGTCACTTCGCTTCTCTGCCTCAAAAGCAGTAGGAAGGGCTTGGGGAGGAGAAGGGTGTCCCTGTGCCACCGCAGCTGCCCTCCCCACAACCCTAACACCCCTCATGTTCCTATTGCAGAGCTCTCGGGATGGGAGGAACAAGAGGGCGACTCTACATCAAGCATCCCCACCTCTTTAAGGTCAGGTGCCACAGCCAGATGGTTTCCCATGGGAATTGGGAGCGTGTGCTTCAGCTCCCTTGTTTACTTCCACCCCCATGCCCTTGTTTGTTATCTTGGAGCACATTCCCAAGGTCTGGCTAGCACACAGAACACGAGCCAATGTTGTCGCATGCCGCCGAGGCGGTGGATTTGCCAGAGCCAGGGCTGAGGCTGGAGCAGGGCAGGCGGAACGGGGGGCAGAGCAGAGCGGGGTGCAGCGTCCCACAGGAGCGGGCTTTTAGGGGAGGGTCTGTCACCCATTCTCAGCTCGGTCCTTGCTGCTTTGTTGTAGTACGCGGCCGACCCGCAGGATAAGCACTGGCTGACAGAGCAGCAGCACATGAGGGCCATTGGGGGCAAGATGGTGAGTACGGCCGGGCACAGGGCCCGCCACAGGGCCAGCATGGGCGGAGGAGCCACGGGCCAGGTGGCGGTGGCAGGAGGATAGGCAGGGCGCCGGGACACAGCGCTGCCAAGGTCCATCCCCTGCCCACAGGACTGGGGCGTGGGCCAGGAGGCACAGCTGGCTCCCACAGGGACAGCGGTCGCTGGGGGAAGTGGCCCTGCCCTGGCTGCCCCACACAGGAATCCTGAGGTGTTCCCCACCTTGTGCCACAGGCCTACCTCCTCATCGAAGAGGACATTCGGGATTTGGCTGCCAGTGAGGATTACAGGTGAGGACTAAAGCAGACACTCTGAAGGTGCTGCTGTGCCTGGGGCTGCTTTCCTGGGGGCCTTCAGCACGTCCCCCCTCACTGCTGCACTGCAGGGGTGTCCTGTGTGGGAGGGGCTCTCTCCATGACGGTTGTGGGGCTCAGTTATGGTTGGGGTTTGGTGCCCAAGGGCCATGGCAGGCGATTAAGGTTTGAACTTGGAGGTACATGGTAGGTTTGGGCTCAGTGCTGATTAAGATCAGTGGTAGGTTTGGTGGATCTGGGCTTGGTAGTGATGGGTGCCGGGGGACCTGGCAGATTTGGGGTCAGTAGTGAGTGCTGGAGTCCCTCCATGTCACTTTCCTTCCTCACCAGGGACTCTGTTGATCTGCGACTGGAAGAGCTGAAGCCCTTCATCCCACCAGCCTGGATGACTGAGAAGATGCAGAAACACATGGAGACGCTTCGGCGCGGGGCGGACGTGCCGCCCCCCGAGGAGCCCCCCGAACCCTGATACCCCCCAATAAAGCCGCTTCGCTCCCACCTCGCCGCCTCCTGGGGACCGGGCCGGGGCTGTGGGGCCGTTTAAGGGCCTGCGGGACCCGCGGTTCCGCCCCTCGCGGGGCGCTGACCAATCACAGCGCTGTTCGTCAGCGCGGGCGGGCAGGCAGCAGCCGCTGGCCGTTACCGTGGGAGCTGCATCCTCGGCGGGCGGTGATTGGCCGGCTCGAACGGGGCTGCGCGCTGATTGGTGGAGGGGCCGCACGCGGAAATATTCAAACGGGGCGCGGGGCCAGCGTACCGGAGAGTGTCCGGGATCGGGACTGCG